TTGGATTCCCTTGGCCTACCAAGGAATCAGCCAGAGCTGGCTAAGGACCGGGGTATTACAGAAAAAAGTCCTGGCCAGGTGCCCCCAAGCCCCTACTCAATCTTGTCTGCCTGCCGTGTGACCTTGGGCAAGTCACTGTCCCTATCTAGGCCATAGTTGCCCCTGAAATGGGGACAGACAGCTGCTGTCTGTGACCTTTTGCCTGAGACAGCAGGGACCTGGCCTTGACAGACCCCCACCCCACCCCCCCACGCCCCACCCCACCCCACCCCCCGGCCAGAGTCGTGGTGACTCTGGCCTCCGAGGCAGCCACCACCCAACCCAGGGTGGGGCATGGGGTTCCCGGATGCGCGAGCCGGGTCCCCTTCCTGCTCCCCCTCCTCGGCTCTGAATTCACCTTCTCTGGGCCTCAGCCCCCCACCCTCTTCTCAGAAGGGAGCCTGTGACTCACCTACCTCTTTCTCTCTCCCTCTCTTCCCTGCCCCTCCCTCCATTTCAATCTCCTCTCTGCCCTCCCCTGGCCTCGCCTCAACCCTCCTCACTGGCCCCACCCCTTCTCACTGGCCCCACCCCTCCTCACTGGCCCCACCCCTCCTCACTGGCCCCACCCTCTCTTCCCCCTCCTGGTGTTCTGACCACCCTCCCACCCGTCCCCCTCCCCCTTCCCCCTCTTATTTTCTAGCTGTTACAAGCCAGAGGCACCCGGATGTGAGGCCCCAGATCACCTCCAGGGACTTGGGGTTCCGAACTGAAATCCTTTATTTTTGTACCTCGGGGTGGGCCCCCGGCTCCAGGCAGAGGAAACACCCTCCCCCCTGCCACTTCTGTCTACACCTGTGGGGCTCTGAATTCCCCCCACCTCTGGGGACCTCTCAAGGCCTGAGGTGGGCCCTGGGACCCCTGGGCAGAGCCGCCTGCGTGTGGCCCAAGTGTGGCGCTGTCCAGCTGTGTTTCCCACGCCCCCGTGGTCCCTCCCCCGGGTCCCCTAGCTGCATGAATGATACCCTCCCCCCTGACCCAGTCACATCTCCTCCCTGAGCCTTAGTCTCCTCGTCTGTCAAATGGGCTCGCTCTCCCCGCCGCCAGCACCTACCTCACAGGGTTGTTGTGAGGTTACAAAGAGGAGCAAGGTCCCAGAAAGTCCTGGGGCGGTGTACAAAGCACCAGACTGGAGGGTGGCCCTCCCTTCACCCTTCCCTCAGAGGGGGAGGACCTGCTCAGCCCCAGATGGAGATTCAGGTATTGGTGGGGCGAAGGGTGTGGGGGTTGGCCTTGTGGGGAGAAGAGGGAGGGTGACCCAGCCTTCACCTTGGCTGCTTCCACCCGTCCGCACTACCGGCTACAGAGGGCCCTGGCCAGGAGGGGCCAGGAGGGGGCAGGCGGGGGCTCAGCAGGGGCAGGGGGCCATTCAGGAACTAGTGATAAGGGCAAGGGGGACACTCCTCCCTTTGCCCAGGGGCGAGTCTGGGGGTAGCAGGGGCTGAGCAGGAGCCCCCTCCTGCATTTAGGATCCCCTGGGCTGTGTCCAACCCCGCCATGTAATAAAGCCTGAAGAAACAGCCGCTGGGCTGCCTTCCTCTCTTCCTCTGAGCCACTTTCAGGGACGGGGCTGAACTCAAGGTGGGGTCAATGACTCATGGGTAGTGGGGCTTTTTCCAAAAGCCCGGGGACCCTGCCCTGCGGTCACTCTCCCATGTATTGGGGGAAGGAGGTCCTGGCTCCATCCTCTGCCCCGCGGCCCAGCACTAAGGGCACCAACTCTGCCTTGCTGGGAGAACTTTGGCAGGTGGCTGCCCTCCTCTCTGGGCCTCAGTTAACTCATCTGTGAAGTGAAGGGTTGGACCAGGCGACTTCCCAGGCCCGGCCCCTGGAGCCATGCAGGTCTCTTCCTGCATCTGGGCAGCCCTAGGCTAGCTGTGGGATGCCGAGGGGGTAGGGGGCTCCCGGAATCTGGACAGCAGGGCCCCCAACTTCCCAGCCTCACCCCACCATTCCCATGGCCCTTTGCTCCGGCCTCTGCTGCATCCTAACCCCGCCCTGGGCCACCCCTTCTGCTTCCTGTGACTTTTCATGGTCCCCTCCACCCCTCCCTATTGCTGCCGCCCTTCTGCCCCAAGTCCCAGGAAATAGAAACACCCAGGCTCCCGCTCCACCTTCTCTCCAAGTCCGCTGGACCCTGGGCTTCAGCAGGGCCTCCCACCCCACCCTGCCTGGCCAGTCCCGTTACCTAACTTGTCCTGCTAAGTGCCTACCATACTCCCCTGCCCCCGCATCTTAGCGCTGCTAGGGACACCCTGGCAAAGCAGGGGTCCCTTAGGCAGAGCTCCTCCCCTGGGCCAGGTGAGGCTCCCCTGCTCCACTCAAGCCTGGGAGGCCCTCGTCACTCCCCTTGAGACATTTGGCTCGCTGGACTCACATTCTGTGTCCAACTTTGTAAAAAGTCACCGTGAGGCTTGTTAAAAGAACAGATTGTCCACCCCTACCCACCCCCCCAATTCTGACTAAGACTGGGGTGGGGCCCGCAAATTTGCATTTTAGCGAAGCGCCCCGTGCCCAGCACTGCATCTGCCGGCCTCTGTGAGAAGTCAGCGAGGCTATGGGGTGGAATACTGTAACATCCTGCCCCCACCCAGAGCCGTCCCCCCCTCCTCCCGGCAGTGTCTGCTTGGTCTGCTCCATCTCCTCCATCTCCCCCCACAGGCGGGCCCAGCAGGCAAGCCATCTCACGCACGAGGCCCTTGGACTGGATGTGCATGCCAGAGCCCTGCCTTTGAAACCCCCCCCAAATCCTGAGGCTCCCCTTCCTTCTCCCAGCTAGGCTTCAAGGAAGACTTGCCTGCACTACTCGACTCCCCACTTCCTTACCTCCCCCGCTGCACCCAGAGGGCACCAGGGGCCCTCCCTGACCGCTCCCACTTGCTTGCTAAGGTTCCACCCCCCAGCTTCCCCTCCAGCTCTGCCCACACCCCTCAGTCTCCCTTGTGGGCCCCCATCTGTAGTGTCTGTCTCCCTGCCTCTTCCGTCTTCCCACTCACCTTCTGCAAAGGGGCTCTGGAATCCCTCCTCCAGACCTCAAGCCCCACCTACTTCCTGCACACCTCCCTCCCAGAGGCATCCGAGCTCTAACACCTCCTCAGAGCCTTTCCCTCCCCAGGTGCCCCAGGCCAGGCAACAGGTCCTCCACTGGCCCGGTGGATCAGGACAGACCCCTGGGAGTGGTCGTGGGTGACTCCTCCCTCACCCAAGCCCCAGCCGCTAGGGCACCTGGAGGACACTGAGGGTCCTTCAAGTCCATCTCCGCTGCCTGGCTCATTAGATCCCCTTCCTCTCCCTCCTGGAGTTCACCAGCGGCCTCCTCACGGCCTCCCTGCTTCCCGCTCCCTCTGCACATGTGCCTCCACACCGGGGCCCCTGATCCTTCTAAGATGTGAATCCACTCATGTGTCTCTCCCCTGCTCTAGAGCCTTCTTCCGTGGCTCCCCAGCGCACCCAGCATCAAGTCCTCCCTTAATTCCAAATTCTTTGTCATCTGATCTCGGTTTGCTCCTCTCTCAACCTCTGTGTAGCTCAGAACAGCTCACCAATATGCCCTGTTCTTTTGGGACTTATGCCTTTGCACATGCTGTTCCCCTCTCTGGAATGCCCTGCCCCACCTTGGCCACCTTTGAGCCGCAACTCAAGTCTTCACCTCTTCCAGGCAGCCTTCCCTGACTTCCCGAGTTCCGGACTACCCCAAAGCCCCTTCACACTGGATTGTCATCCCCACCCCTCCTGAGATCAGGAGCTGAGTTCTGTGCATCTCTGTGGCCCCAGCGCAGTGGTTGGCACGTAGCGGGAGACTGATGGCTTGCTGAATGAAGGATCCCAAGAAAGCAAAGGGAGCGTCTCGCTGAGAAGGGGTGGACTGGGAACCAGGAGGCGGGGCTTCCACACCAGACGTCACTATGAACCCGCTGGTGTGATCCTGAGGATGGCTCCGCCCCTCTGCCTCAGTTTCCTCCCAAGCTTGCAGACGGAGCCTATCACTCAACCCATCCTTCTGATCCAAGGGGGTCACCAAATCACCTCCATCTTGGGGTTGCTCCTGGGACCTGAGCAACCACCCTGGAGGTCACCCCTGCCCCCACTGACCCCACCTTGGCCTTCTAGACATTTGACCAACAGGCTGAGCAGGAAGCAGAGTCTGCTCAGTCAAGACTGTGGGGTTGATGCCCCGGGCCCCATTCAAACCCCACAGCAGGGCCTCAGATCGAACGACTTTATTCCTCAGGGCAATGGAGCTCACTTCCAGGTGTGAGTGGGCAGTGGAGGCCCAGGGGACAGGTAGGGGTGGGGTGAGGACCCTAGACCCAGGGCTCCCCCCACCCTTTGGCTTACGGTGGCAGTTGGCCCACTTGGCTGTCTCCAGGGCTGTGGGGGCCCCTCCTTGGGGGTGCCTCCCATCCCCACCCCTCAAGTTCACAGGCTGAATCTGCTCTCTGCATTGGCGGAGGGGAGCTCAGACACCCCTCTTGGGACCCGGAAGCCCCATTATCACTGCTGAACCATTCCCCGCCCTCCCCCCCCCCAAGTCAGCAGCAGCAGAAGGAGAAGGAGGAGAGAGAACAGGGCTGGATGTGAACCCCTCCAGCTGGGCCTGCTGACCATCCAGGCTCTGGGGTGCAGGGGGAGTCCACCACCAGCTGATGGGTCTTCTCCTGTTGCCCTCCCTGGGGCAGATGTCAGGGAGCAGGTTGGGGGACGACAGGATGCTACCTCCTGCCTCCACAAGGCCCCCCTGCTGCCCCCAGAATACTTGCTCCCCTGCCCAGTGGGTGCCCCGGACTCTCTGAGTCCAGGAGGTGGGCCCCAGCTCTGCAGGGAGGGAAGCTCCTCAGGTCAGCACCTGCTGGATCCAGCCAATCACCCCTGTGATGCGGGTGTAGACACCAAAGTAGTTGGGCCGGCCACAGCCCAGGCCCCAGCTGACCAGCCCCGCCAGGAACCAGCGGCCACTGGGCTCCTTGCACACCAGTGGACCTCCCGAGTCGCCCTGAAACGGGGAGAGGAGAGACAGGTCTGCATCAGGGTAAGCTGGGGGTCCTGACTGCTGGGAGTCTCCCAGGTGACAAGAGGCTCTTGGGAAGCCTTCTGCCTCCCCTGCTCCTGATCAGTGGAGAGAGCCCAGAGCAGCCCTGCTGGTCCTTCCGCGGGTCCTGGCTGTCGTGGAAGAGTACACGTGTGTCCCCACTCCTCTCTGCCTCCCTTTTGTGGGCTCCTTCCATTCCTAGCTCCTGTGTCCCCTTGGGCAAAGCGCCTTGCTCAGGGGCAGGGGGCAGAACTGGGTTTGAGCCTTAGACCTGCCCGTGACCTGGGGCCTGCAACTGGGCGCACGTCCCTCCACCTCCCCGAACCTCAGTTTCCTTATCGGTAAAGTTGGGACAGCCATCCCGGCCTTGCTGGGAGGCCGTGGGGCTTCAGCAGGCTGGTGTGAGCAGAGGGCCAGGCCTTGCACGATGTGAGCGCCGCCCGCCCTCCTCTCGGCCACCCACCCCCAAGGTGTCACCTGACAGGCATCCTTCTTGCCCTTTCGGTAGCCAGCGCACAGCATGCGGGGTGTCACCTGGTAGCGATAGGCCTCGCTGCACAGGTCCTGCGGGATCAGCTGCACGTCCACCTTCTGCAGACCGTTGCTGGTGGGGCCTGCCCAGCGGGGTGGGGGGTGGAAGGCAAGGCAGAGATGAGAGCGGCTCTTCCTTCCACTTTTCCCCTTGCGGCTCAGGAGCCCGCCCTCATCTCTCCTGCTCTGCCCGCCCCCTACCCCTCCGCCTCACCTCACCGTCACTCTCTTCTGGCCCCCTCGTGGCCCACGGGGACAGAGTCCCCACCCAAAGCCTACCTGGACTAGTGTCCTCCCTGCCGCCCCTCCTGCTTGAGGCCTCTTGGCCGGTGCCCCCCTGTTCTGTGACAGCCCCTGGGAGATTTTTCCAGAACACCCATCTGACCCTACACTCTCGGCCTAAAATTCATCAGTGTCTCCCCGCTGTCCAGCCCAGTGCTTTGCCAGGGCCCCCCAGGGAGGGCCCCCAGGGAGCTTCATTCTGCACTGTGCCTGGTCCCACCCCGAGATCTGGCCTGTTTGGCTAGGGTAGGACTCAATGCTGGTGTTTTTCTGGAAGCCCTCAGTTGGTTTTTAAAGTGCAGGTCAGGCAAACTCCTGGCTCAAGCTCCGTACAACGGCCAATGAGGCCGTCCTGCCCTTCCCACCAGTCCTCGCCCACATCTGCCTGCCCCCAGCTCCCCTCTGGTGCAGGGTGTTCTCGAGACTCCCTGGGTTGCCCCCTGTGCCCTTAACGGGAACACCTCTCTCCCCCACTTGGACACCGGCGACTCGTCCTCCCAGCCTTGGCTTAGCCAGCCCCTTGTCCGGAAGCCTCCCTGACTCCACCTGGCTAGGCCCCTCCTCTGGGCTGCACCTCCCCACCCATGTCAGCTCTAAGCACCGTCTCCCCCAAGAATGTTCTCTTTTCATCCTTCTAGCCCATCTTTGCCCAACTCAAGTCCTGGCATACAGTAGGTGCTCATAAATGTGTCCTTGAATGAGTGAGCAAATGAACCAATCCTTGCTTTACTGCTCTCCTCCATCATCCCCTTGAACAAGTCACTTCTCATCTGAGCCTCAGTTTCCCCATCTTTAAAGTATCTCTACAGTCCTGCCCGCCTCCAGATTGTAAATCACTGTCCCCATCTTTAAAGCCACCCTCTTTAAGGGTGCAGGGCATGCCTGTGGTTATGCCAGCCTAGGCCTGCCGGTATTCACAGAACGGACGTGGCCCCGAGGGACGGTCAGTTTAGGCGGGAAGGGGAGAGGCCCCTTGCTTCAGGGGCAGTAGCAGGAACAGCAGGGCTCTGGGGTCAGGCAGTGCTCAGTGCCAGTCCCTGTTCCAACCCTCTCTGGCTGGGCGACTTGGAAGAACTGCTAAAATGGGACCATAATCCCCAGCCTTAGGGGTACTGGGTGGATTAAATGAGACCACGTTCCCTAAAATCCATCCTCCGCGTAGAAAGTCATCTGTGCCCAAGGAGCAGAGGTTGGAGCTTGCCTGTGGGCTGCTGGGTTCCTAATATGCCCCATCACTTCACCCATATCCCCCAAGGTAACCTCCCACGCCCTCGGTTCCCTTTAAACTGCACGTTCCGGAAGGAGGGAAGGGCCCGGAAGGCAGGAGCCGCTCGCTACAGTAAAAGCTTGTTTTCTTCTGCGACATCCAACCCGGGTTGAGCCCAGCACCAGAGGGCCCCTGGGGTGGAGCCCTGAGGCCCCTTGGCCGGCCCCCTCCAGGTTTGGAAGCCTCGGGAGGCGGACCACACCCCACCTCCCCTGATCTGCCCTCCGGCAGCCCAGCCGGCTCACCGCCCTCGCGCAGGGCACCCCAGCCCGTGATCCAGCAGTGCAGGCCCGGCTCGAAGAAGTGGGAGCGCGCGGGCAGGCAGACGGGGTGCACGGCGGCCGAGCGCACCACCGGGTGGTCGAGCTGCAGCAGGGCCACGTCGTAGTCATGGCTGTCCTCCTCGTGGTAAGGGTGCAGGAGCAGGCGGCTCACCTTGAAGGACACCTCGCCGGGCCAGCGGGAGCTCTGCCACACCTTGCCCAGGAACACCGTCCACAGCGCGGGGGAGGCCATGCTGGAGGGGGCGGGGGCGGGGAGGGGCACTCAGCCGCCGCCTCTCTCATCCCAGACCCTTAGGCTAGCCGGCTTCCCCACCAGTGACCCCGGCGGCGGTCACACCCGTCCCTTCCCTGCTCCGGAAAGCCGACTGCTGGGCCGTGGTACAGCCAGCCGTGCTGGCGTCCGAGTCCGCCTGCCTGGGTTCCAGTCCCAGCTTCATCCCTCCCTCGATACGTGTGTGCTTCTCTATGCCTCAGTCTGCTCATCTTCTACTCCTAGGTTACTGGGGGGAACTCAGGAAGACTGTACGTGTGAAAAATCAGCACAGTGCCAGGCAGTGACACACGGTTCTCTCCTTTTTGTCTGTGCACCTTACAGATGGGGCTGCTGTGAGCTTGCGGAGACCTGCTGGTCCGCCCTGGGGCGGGGGGAGGGGGGGTGGGTCTTGAGTAGGCGGCAATCAGCCGAGACAGGGTGGTGAAGACCCCTGCAGGCCGGGTCAGCGCCCGGGGCTTTCTTTACCTCAAGGGGCCGCGGGGAGCCAGGGAAGCAGTGAGAGAGTGAGGTGGTCAGACCGCACCCAGAAAGAGCACCCAGGCCCCTGGGGAGGGGATGCCAAGCAGAGCCGGGCTCTGGGCTGGCCCGAGGTGCTAGGGGGGTGTGGACAGACAGCGGCTGAGGAGTGGTCCAGCGCACCGAGAGCACTTGCTGTCTGGCTCTGGATGTAAAGGGGGTGGGGGTGGGGTGCCGTGGTGGCTCCTGGTCTTTGGCTGGGGACAATGTGGACCCGGGACAGAAAAGGAGGTGTCGGAGGGGAGTCCAGGACTGGCGGGGCCCAGGAGATGGGGTGCTGCCAGCCCACCATGCAGATGGAGATGTTTGGGGGGCTGGGTGGGATGTCTCTTCTTGGAGGCTTCTTGGGCCCCACTCACCAGGTCACAGGCCCCTGGCGGGGGCGGGGGGCATGGCCTATGGCCAAGTGGGGCAGTTCTGTTCTCTGCTGTATCCCTAGGGTCTGGCACAGCTCCCTAGTAGGAGCACGATACATATTGCTGAATGGATGAGTGAATACAGGAATGAATGAGTGAATGAATCGCTAACCCAACTTAAAGCAAGATTCCAAAAGCAGGGCAGTAGGAGGTTGAGCAACCTCTCCAGGGGCATGGACTATGTTCATGGTGGAGCCAGGACCGAACCCAAGCGTTCAAACGGCAAGTCTGATGGGCTTCCCACCACCCTTCCCTCCTGCTTGGATCTCAGACCCACTGTCCCTGCCTGCCTGCCGGGCCTCCCCTCCCCTCTCCCATCTCTTGTGGTCTCGGGTCGCACGGCCCCTGCTCACCTGTCCTCCTGGAAGCAGTGGGCGGCTGTTATCACCCAGCGGTCAGCGATGAGCGCCCCCCCACAGATGTGTCGGCCCCGAACCTGGAGGCTGGCCTGCCAGGGCCACTCACCCTCTGAAGACACGGCCCCGCCCACTATGCGGCCCGAGGGGCCCTGGAGGCCACAGTCTGGGGGCACGGGGAGGGACAGGGATGGCCAGAAGCCAGGGAGGAATGGACACAGAGAGAGACGGAGAAGGGGAGGCAGAGAGGAAGGCCAGAGGAAAGATGGAGGAGGATGGGAAAGAAAATGAAGGAGAGGCAGGGCCCGGAGTGGGTGCAGAGGCGGGACAGAAAGAGACGAAGTGAGCTCTCCCGCAGCTTCCCGGGGCGGCCCCTCCCTCCCTCCCACGCTCAGGGCCCTGCAGGTGGAGAGGGTCCTCTGCCCGCCCCCCCGCCCCGTTGGCTCACCACAGTGCCACTCGTCGGAGCCATCCCTGCAGTCGGGAAGCCCATCACACCGCGGGTTGGGCTTCTTCACGCAGCTGTGGTCCTCACACTGGAAGGTGAACGTCCCACAAGCCACCACTGGGGGAGAGGGGGTGGGGGCAGGGCATGGAGGGTGGGTCCCTGAGCCCCAGGGAGCCTCCGAAACAAGGCCCAGGGAAGGAAGAGCCTGGGAGGGGCCAGGAGGAGACTGGGGAGGGATCCCTTGAGCACAAGGCTCCTGTAGGGTCTCTTAAAAAGGCAGGCCATGTCCCTTCACCCCTCCACAGACTGGTCTGTCGAGAGTAAGGCTGTGTCTCCACTTTCAGTAGGCTCCCAGGAACAGGGCTATGCCTCTCCCATCAGTCTAAGGCTCCCCTCCTAGCCCGGCCTTCCTCCAGATCCTGGCCCTACCCAGCCGCCCACCTGCTCCTCACTGTCTTCACAGTGAAGAACTTTCTGCGCCCCCCCATCTGGTCTTGGCCTGCTCTCCTTTCCTCCTGCTGATTTAAATTTTACCTCTCTGCAAGGCCAAGTTCAAAGCCCACGTCTTGTAGGAAGCTTTCCCTGCCTGATGTCCTCCTGCACTCCAATCTTCCCATGCTACTGGACATCGTGTCCAGAAGGCATTGGGCCAGAGACAGTCACCCATCACGTCTTCCTACTAGCAGATAATCCCAAAGGGCAGGGACCACCTTGCTGGTGTCTATTATTCCCACTCCTTCACTCTGCTTACTAGCACTGGCTTGTCTGCAGGTGTAGGATGGATGGATGGATGGATGGATGGATGGATGGATGGATGAGTGGGTGGGTGGATGGATGGATGGATGGATGGATAAAACAATGGACACAGAGAGGAGATTGGGCAGATCAACAAATGGGTGGATTGATGGTCCAGTAGGGAGACTGACAAACAGCTAGAAGGATGGATAAATGAGTGGATGTAAGGACCAACAGACAAACAGATAGTTACATCAACAGATGGATGCATGCATACATGCATTCATGGATGCATGGATGGAGGATGGAATGATGGCCACACGGGTAGTTAGGTGAACAATAAATGGGTAGATTGATGGCTCAGTGGATAGGGAGATAGGTGGGTGGACAGGCGGTTGGATGGATGAATGAGTGGATGTATGAATCAATGCACAGATAGGTGGTTGGGGAGGCCATAAGATGGATGGAAGGATGGATGGATGGATGGATGGGTGGGTGGGTGGATGGATGGATGGATGGATGGATTG